ACCAAGAACCAATCTATGTATCCGGATAAATCTTTGCACAAATACTGCCCGTTAAGGTATGCTATTTAAAATGGGTTGAATCAGATTACATACAGATTGTAATACTTCCCTTAGCCCCCATATATCTAATACAAAGATTTTCGAATTTCCAGTTGACTTTATACCACAATGTCGAAGTTATTTTAATGAAATTGAGAGACCGTGCTTTTCTAATAACAGTGTATCTTTGGGCCTAAACCTTGCCTTAGGCCCCATATAACCGATATTCACGATGAAACGTCCGGCTGACTTTACTCCACATACATATAGTATGTAAGTTTATATTTATATATATATTCATAAAATTGCTTGAAATCAAGTTCTCAAGTATACCTGACCAATGTCAAAAATAAATGCAATCAGTCCTTCCATTTCTTGCCCTCAATGATTTTAGCATAATTTTTGCTGACGGAAAGTAAAATATAGTAATAAAACTAAATGAGTCTATGACCTTCAAAATAAATTAATATGATACCAAATTTGATTATAATCCACTCACCATTTCGTCGAATAATGAAGTTGAACATTTTCGCTACATTTCTTAATATAAAGTTTTGCCAACATATGAAGGTATTTCCCCGGCTTTGATCCTTGCAAGTTGCAATAGTATGAAATGTTCGGTTACACCTGAACTTAGCACTTTCTTACTTGTCTAATATTTATAATGTTTTACCAACGGTTGAAAGTATTATAAAATGTACGCACATGAACTTAGCCTTTCCTAACTTATTTTAATTATTTCTCTTTATACTCTTGCAACATGTTGCTACAGAGTTAGTTTTGTTCACTTAACGGTTGTTTGTATGACCTAAAACTAATCGAGATAGATATTGTGTTATATACTTATTTATAAATGAACAGGATGACGAGACGAGTCCGTCCTGCTGTCCGTCCAAGCGATAACTTGATTAAAATTGAGATATCTTGGTGTAACTTGGTGTGCTTCTTCCTTGACACCCAAGGGAGAATGGTCACAGATGGTCAGAATCGATTCATTACCACGTCTACAAAACGCCATTCAAACGAAAAAGTACTATAAAATGCCATAACTAAACCCTAGGTTCCTTCGTTTACAGCCGAACTTTGCCCTTCCTGACTTGTTTATTTATATTGTTAAATTGGTTTTACAATGAAGCGTTTACTTTAATATTTTCAAATACTTTTTTCTCAAAATGATATTTACAATTTCACTTTACGATAGAAATATTGATGCAAGCTTACACAACACACTAGACTACATAATTTAAAAACCGGGACGTCAAAACAAATTAAATAATTGGACTTAGAAGCATGTCTATAGGCAACAATTGCGCATTGAGTTGAAAGGCTGTCTTATACCTAACTTGGGACAACGTCCGGTGTGTTTTACGTGAGTACCTGCCGGCTACAGCCTTCCCTCACGGTGCTCCAAAGCACAACGTATCAAAACAATGCGTTGATAAGCGCCCCAAATAATACGAGCTATTTGCAAGTATTAATTTGGTTACCAGTGGCCAGTGTGTAGGGGCACACTAACCATTTTAGTAGGATTCGAGACCGACCTAAAACCTCTTCCGTTTTCGGATACGGAACCCAGTTGCTTGTGCAACTTCTTTTTTGAACTGAAAATTCAGTTCTTCCAGCATTTAGGTTTAAACCACAGCCACCACGATACTCCCCAAAGGGCCGAACCCAATGAGCAGATTGAAGCGAAGTCCAAGGTCATTCTGCTCCCCGTGGTACCAGAATTGAGTCTCCGGTAAGACTGTGTAGCCGAAGCTACTGCCAGTTGAGCTACCCATAACTCAATGACTGTTGACATATGTCGATTAAACTTCAAATGTCTTTTTATTTGGAATATCATTTAAAGTTCATAATATCAGTTCAAGCTGAGTATTGTAGCACTATTTCTGACATCATTACTATGCTGATATTTCTAGGCAAGGTAAAATAACAGTCATAGGGCATTTGGCTTTTAGTCGCCTCTTACGACAGGCAGGCCTTACCGCGGGTAAATTCTTACCCCTATCCGCAGGGGGAACCTAACTCGGGACAGTATATCGCCGCATCAACGCCATCTTCCATTTTCGAGACATCCATAAAAATGTTTAATGTGTCCTCGCAGCTAACATACCTTGACTGAACTTTCTTTCCCAATTGAAAAGTGGTATCATTACCCACCCAGCTATACCCGAAAGTTCTAACTGATGATCCAAGTAAAGGTAGTCTTTTCTATAGGCTGTTTTTTTCACAGATCACGCGTGAATCGTGTCAAGCTGTCACGTTGTTTTTGTTCAGTATTGTTTAGCATTTTATCATGGAAAGATTTACAGCTGAACAACGTTTACAAATCTTTTACCTTTATTACGAAAATTCACGTTCTGTAAGTTGAGACCCAGCATTCATTACTGGATAATATTCGACCGAATAGACCACGCCAACACGCAGTGAAGAAAATATAGCGGCCGTAGCTGAGAGCGTACACGAAGACCGTTGAGAGTGAAATAAGTCGAGTAGGTCCGGAGATATGAAATTTCACCTAAAGGTGGGCGGCACCACGCATATCATCCAATTTTGACACCGGCTATAAAAACCATCCTGTATCATCCCGGATATAAAATTTAATGTCTCTATTTGTCTATTACTAAATTTTGCTTGGTGTTCGAGATGTTTATATTAAAATCAATTTAATTAACACAGATGATAGGTGTGTATATGTGATATAAATTCAACTAATGAGGCTAAATTTAATATATAGGGTGTATCAACATCAATCAGAGGAAGAATAATAGACCAATTTCATTCATTTTAAACGCTAAACCACTTTATTTTTTAGAAAACTTGTTACTTAATGTCATTAAAATATTATACACAAAGCACATAAGCACTTTAAAGTAAAGTAGAAAGTTGGAAATCACTCTAACGGATATATGGAGGCAAGGGGAAGATTTGGACCAATTGCATTAACTTTTTGCATTACTCAGTTACACTTGAGAACATGTTAATTTTGCGAAGATAAATTACAAACTGATCGACATATTCAACATAAAGTATGCAATAATTACGAACATCACTATATGTGGTATGTGGAAGCTGAGTAATTTGTGGACTGATAGACGGTATAAAGCCAAACGAAAGTTTGAAATTCTTATATAATTCAATTGTCTTATGTAAGGTATATGGGGGCTAGGGAATATTTTGAGCCGATACCTCATAGGGTATATGGGGACTAGTGGAAGAATTGCCCAGATCTCATTTATTTTAGGCAAGAGGATACACTGCTACTTATTAGAAAGACATTTTATTAAGATATATTACATATTCTTCAGGTGCCAGTGAGTTATTGCACTTTTAGTACTTTTCAACATAACCATTATGTAGGGAGTGGACATTGTTATTACTTGATTTTACTGTGTTGTAGAAAGTGCCCAAAGGACTTGCCTTGAGAGGATTTGGTTAATATAACTTGAGTTATGAGATATGTACATTAAACTTATAAGGGGCAGGGCCACACTTACTTTTAAAAAAATTTCAGACCACAGATGCATCTACAATACCGAACTTCTAATAGTACTAAGGACATTTATATAAATACTTGTACATATATACATTAAGACCAGGAAATTTCCGGAAATTCTTTTTTTTCAATATTCGCGATTTGATTCATTATGAATTCGTTCCAACGGGACAGTCAATAAAGAGTATTATTTGAGCATTCTGAGGCGTTTGCATGAAAACATCCGTCGTAAATGGCCGAAATTGTGGACCAACAATTCATAGATTTTTCATGACGATAATGCGCCATCGCACCGAGCTGTAGTTGTGAACGATTTTAAGACCCAAAAAAACAAAAGTTACAATAGATCGGAGAGGAAAACCAAACAACACCTGCACATACCTATAATAACCGACGAAAAATTTCTCCCCATTAAAAGATTTAAAGTTTTATACTCTCGCAATGTGTTACACCGAGTACAAAAGTTTTGTTCAACAAACAGTTATTTGTAACACTTTAAACTAATTGAGATAGGGTGTAGAATTATTTGATATACACCAAAATGATCAGGGAATATGAATAACCCACTTAAGTTACTGAGATCAAGTTTTTTAGCACCTCCTTATATTGTATAAAAATTGATGAAATTTAAAGATTATTAATAAATATTGACTTTTATTTAGAGAGGAAGCTGAAGAATTTAAAATAATTTTTGGGAGTTAGACATTGAACTATTTTAAACAATAAAAAATAATTGTTAATACTCTCGCAACATGTTGCCCAAAGTATAATAGTTTTGTTCACCTAACGGTTGTATGTATCACCTAAAAATAACCGGGTTGGATGTGCCATATACATATATCAATGATATAAATATTAAATATTTTTTTAAAGTGTGCCCTCTAAATGGTTGAATGTACATATCTTCCAAGCTACTGAAGCTAACTCAACCAAACTTTCTGAGAAAAAGTCTTTTCAGCATCCCTTCATACACTGTGAAAATGGGTGAAATCAGATAACAACCATGCCCACTCCCCATATAATGTTTTGTTGACGATTACCGAAAGTGCGATAATTCACGGAATAAAAGAGTTAAAAGCATTACATTTTTCAATCAATAAATAGAAATCCTGTTGAAATTCCGAAAGGATCTCTTTCTAATACCAGTTATCTTCTACTGCCTACTTTTAATTAAAAATGTACGAAAATCCCGTATATCCCGTTCGGTTACACCCGAACTTAGCATTCCTTACTTGTTTTATAATTGATTGAAGTTTGAATTCACAGTATATCTATCAAAATCAATAGTTAAACTATACTACACATTAAATCACAAGTATTGAATATTAATAACCTTAAAGGGTATATAAAATATATTACCATACTTTTTAATGTTTTCATATTTTATACTTCCCCTACCCACCTCCACTCGCCTTTGTATCTACGTGTGACAAGTTTGAGTTGGTAATTTGCGGAACGTGTCAACTGTGCAAATAACAAAGTATTGTCTTAACTGTTGACCCCCTTTGCGTTGCGGCTTTACTTTTAATTGGAGAAAAGTCGCCAACTCATTTTGGAAAACAACGATGTGAACAATTTTAGTGTTTTAAGTTGGGTGCATACAATTAGTTTATTAATTAAGAAAATGTTTACCAATCGAAATATTTTTGTGTTTTTTCTTATACTAAATGAACTTGCGCTAACGGCAAATTCGCAACAGTTGCAAAAAAAACGCCGCCACCGAAAGGCCCGTATGCTCGGAGCGATGTAATATGGCTTTCCGATGTGATCCTTACTATAGCGGCCCACCGGTGTGGACGATAATGGACGGTGTCTGCAAACTTTTCAAGACAGACTGTCTATTTGCCAGCACCAATTGCCATCGGCAGAATAACTGCTTATCAAGTGAGTGTGAATTATTCACTTTCTATTCCCTCCCTGAATGAACTCTGTTTAGAATTAACAACAACTTCACAACAAATCTGTCAGATAAAGTGCAGGGAAGCGTGTGTGCAAGTGCCTATAAAACCGGTGTGTGGTGTTTTCCCCTATGTGACAGTATATGGGGACCGAAATGACGGTATGATCACCTTCAAAAATCAGTGTGAACTGGAAAAATGGTCATGCTGGAATTCGAAAGGTGTGTATTACTTGACTAACTTTGTAGAGTGTGATAAGACAATATGTTTATTGTTTTTATAACTTTTTATTATATAGCATACATCTCAGTGAGCAAAGGAACCTGGTTTTGAAAAACTAAAATTATGTTGTGGAATGGTTAAAAAGAGTCAAAATGATAGGTCAATAAATAATATGGCCATATGCTCAACAGTGAAGTGATTTGATTGTACAGATCGGTACATACTTACGATCTAATATTATTTAAAAACGAATTGTTTTGTATTTACTCCGTAGAAGATGAAAGAAAACTATTTATGTATATATACAGCTGTGGTTATTGAAATAACAGTGCAACAGAAGCTATACTATATAACTGTTTTTTTACTCTTGTAACCTGTTGCTACAGAGTATAATAGTTTTGTTCACCTAACGGTTGTTTGTATCACCTAAAACTAATCGAGTTAGATATAGGGTTATATATATATAAATGATCAGGATGAAGAGACGAGTTGAAATCCGGGTGACTGTCTGTCCGTCCATCCGTCTCTCCGTCCGTCCGTGCAAGCTGTAACTTGAGTAAAAATTGAGATATCTTTATGAAACTTGGTAGATATGTATTGCAGATGGGCGTAATCGGACAACTGCCATGCCCACAAAACGCCATTAATCAAAAACAAATAAATTGCCATAACTAAGCTCCGCAATAAGATACAAGACTGTTATTTGGTACACAGGATCACATTAGGGAGGGGCATCTGCAGTTAAAACATTTTTGATGGTCGTGGTCCCGCCTCTAATAGGTTTCATGTGCATATCTCCTAAACCGCTAATGCTGTAATAACAAAATTCACTGGAAGCAAATGTTTTTAGCATTTCTATTGATGGTGGGAAAATAGTTGAAATCGGGTGGAACCCCGCCCAATCCCCATATAACGGTACTGTTAAAAACTACTAAAAGCGCGATAAATCAAGCACTAAACACGCCAGAGACGTTAAATTTTATCTCTGGAATGGTGTGAGATGACTTTATAGGAACCGCGTTCAAAATTAGACAGTGGGCGGGGCGCAGCCCACTTTTAGGTGAAAACCCATATCTTCAGATCAGATCATCTGATTCTTTCACTTTCCACTATGCATATCAAGCAACAATGATTATATCGGGGTAAAACTTTGCGTGAATAATACGTTTAAAGTATGCCACCTTGTGACCAAAAATTGTCTAAATCGAACCAAAACTGTTCAAGCCCCTAAGTACTAAATATGGGGACCCCAGTGCCTATAGTGACTTTCTACCGAAAATATCAGCCAATCCACAAAGAAATCTCAAACGAGTATACCATTTGACTTTGCGAGAGTATAAAATGTTCGGTTACATCCGAACTTAGCCCTTCCTTACTTGTTTTGAATATTTCCTTTCGTTAAGTTTTTTGATTTTATACGACGAAAAGGGCAGAAAATAATTTAAAATTTGTGAATAATTCGTTTGATTAAGTTGACTATTATTATGTAAATAACACTGCATTATAACAATGAAATATTTTTAATTTTAGTGGGCAGAGAAACTCAGTGCTCCAATTAAGGTAGACTTTCATCGTTGTGCTTAGATACGCGGCTTATCCTCGTTAACAACCTGCCAAAGCTACGGTTTAAAAGACGGGAATTGCTTTTAAACAAAGCATTTGATATCCCCCCTAATTTTATACAGCGTTGAGATCCGGGGGCTAAGCTGGCCATAGTATTAAAACAATTTTTCTAGGCTAAGCCAATTTACTGGGATGTCCATTTTAAAGGCATATTTCAACTGGTATATGGCAGTTAAGCTTCCTTAATAGCCTCATTTACTATTTTGATACATGATGCCATCAATCATATGTAACATATTGAGCCCATACTGCTATAAGAAAAGTACTCTTATACCAAATTTTTGAGGTCACCGTACTATACTGTCTTGATACTCGATGATTCGGGGTCGACGGACATACTTTTTAGAACCTGCTCCACCAAACAAGACCAGTTGGCACTCATCTGTCCAAAGTATATAACATTGTATGTATATGTATGTATATTATATTATACAACTACAATGATTTGATTTCGTTTGGAATGTAATTTTAATACCGAAAACTTTTTATCCATTGAAAAGTTAACTCGACAGTTGGAAATAAATGGTTATATGGGAGGTAGACGAAGCTGTGAATTAGTTATTCTACTTTTGGTAATTATTAACCATATACTAAGCTTACTTCTATGAAGATAACTTTCAACAAGGTAAATGAAGTAATGGAGTTCATAAGCCTCATGCTACATCAGCCTTGAGGAAAAGTCGCAAATTTAGCGTTTTTCAAACCATGCTATTCACTTTATTTAACACACCACTGGAGCTCCTACTACCTTTAAAAGGCTTCAAAAGTGAATTTTTATCATGGTCAAAAAAATTTCGAATTTTTACGAGCGCAATGTTTCCATAAAGCTTTGCTATTAAAAAATAGCATAGGCTTTCATTTTGTCATATACTTTTAAGGATACCTCTAAATTTGGGTTTTGACTTTTTTCCAAACACGATACGAGGTTTACAGACCGCATTTCCAAGCCTGGCGTTGGGATTTTTCCAGTGATGATTCTAAGGTTATTTCTACATCAATATTACTCTGCGTTGGAAAATCCTATTAAGTGATAAATAAATAATTTAATTATTTTGAGTTATTTGAATTTATTTAGTGTGATATTAGATTTAGTGTTCTGTTCTCCATCCCTCCCTTGCTTGACTTATTAATCTTGCGGCTCGAAGGAATGTAAACTAATTTTTATCCAAGTGGGAGGGGTCATCACCGTGTACTATACGAGTATGTTATAAGTACTCGAGGCCTTATATTGGTCATTGCATAATTTACGCGATAACGACCGCCCCTTCGGAAAAGCTTTAAACCTGAAAGGAAATTTCAGACAAACAGTGTTTTCTGATTGGATTTCACGTAATATGTTTTTATGTGTTATTTTTCGATTTAAGCTTTCTCAATTTAAATACCAAAATTTTTTTACATTTGACCAAATAATTAAGTTCGTTTACGAATCAAATAATCAACTATCTAACTTTTACACTTGTAATAGTACTCTCGAAATAAAATGGACAGATATAATAATTTTGTTCAGCTAACGGTAATTATAACACCTAAAACTAATCGAGATAAATATAGAGTTATACATACATACATTTGTATATAAATGATTAAGATGAGGAGACGAGTTGAATCCCGGATGATTGATTATCCGTCCGTCAAAGCGACTTTCATTATCAACATGATATTAATGAGACTAGTTCGGTTCGGTTCTCTGAATATTTGGAAAATATCCATTGGATTATAGGTATATTTCTCAGTTACTTTGTTTCGAAGTGTTCATTCGGACTTTACCTTCCTTATGTTACTTGGATGTTGTTTACTATTTTCCTCGGATATTTGCTTACGTGCTACGTAAAAAAATAATACAATGAGTACACAGCTGAGAGCTTCGAAACTGAGCTAAAAGCGAAAACAACAAAGAAAAAATCACGTCCGGTGATTTTTTGAACAAAATTCTTATCGTTATATATTTTTGTATAATGGACTTTATTTATGATAATGTTGAAAATATTTATTATTAATAAGATGAAATAAAATGTAATTTTTTACAATTACATACACATGTACATACATATAAGTTGAAATTATATTATATAAAAACCTAATAGCGTCAGAGCTTCTCTATTGAGAAAAGTGTATAGCTAATGGCCACAATTGTCGCAAGATTTTTATTTATATAAGTAGAACTGGCTTGTTCAATATCAGTTCCAAAATGTATTCGACTGTAGTGACTTGTTCGTTAGTACTATTGGCAACGCTATCAGCGCACGTAGTGTCTGGTTATACTCCAGCTGCTGTTCCACCTCCAAGATGTAGACCAGGACTTATTGTTGACTGCAACCATCAAAACGAGGACCTGGTTTGGTGTAAGGATGAAAATAATGAGTGTAAAACGATTTTGAACTCATGTCTTTTCGATCAAGCCAACTGTGCGCGTTATCGCCTCGGACGGCCACGTAAGTAGAAAGAAATACATAGCTTTAATAAATGGCAAATTATATGTATAAGCTTAATTCTCAAAATACAGTACTCCAATTAATATCGAAGGAAGAATGTCAAAGATTATGTATCAATGATTGTTCCAATGCACCACAAGAAATTATTTGTACTCATCGTGGTGGAAAATATTGCACATTTCCCAGCCATTGCGAATGGACGAAGCATTTATGCAATACGGGCGAATGTGAGTTTGGATGAAATGTTTAACAATTTTTGTGTATTCTAAACAATTTGTATCTAATTTTATGTGGACGAATAGTTTGGTTCCAAGAGGGTCAACTTCCCTGTGGTCCAAATCCAGTTAAGTGCTTCCCTTAACTGTTGTACGTTTTTTGAAAGTTGATTTTAAGAAATGAAGTTTTAACTAACGAAACAAAATATATGTATAAGAGATATTCTTTTGCTCTTGAAAACCCAAAGTTTTCCAATCAGTACAATGGCGCAGCAAAAGAACACATGCAAAACAGAATATGCAAGGGCTGCAATATATGCCACATCAACACCCATGAGCTTGCTATCATATACATATACACACATACATTTCGCTTATATAATATTTCTGTTTCTGAAATTACAATAGGTGTTTTAGCGCTCTTGCATATTTTGGATTTTCGCAATCGTGCAATCTTGCAAGAGCAAGAGAATAAACAAAGTTTGCGAAATTGAAATCACCTAACGGGTTTTATATACTGGACAATAATAAAGACCATATTTCGTAAAGATGATTTTTCATATAAACAAGTTTTCCATGCAAGGACTTAATTTTCATCGATCAGTTCGTATGGCCGTTATATGCTATAGTGGTACGATTTCGGTGGTTCCGACAGTCTCTTGGAGTAGAAAGGACATGCGCAAAATTTCAGATCGATATCTCAAAAACTGAGGGACTAATTCGTGTATATACAGCCCGACAGACGGACGAATATGGCTAAATCGACTCAGTTTGTCACGCGGAAAAATTATATATAAATTTTATAGGGTCTCCGACGTTTCCTTCCGAGTGTTACAAACGTCGTGAAAAACTTATTATTCTCTGTTCAGGATATAACCAGTAAGGAGGCGCTAAGTTCGGGTATAACCGAACATTTTACACTCTCATAATTTGCAAGGATCAAAGCAATTAAACTTTAAAATGAACAATTAAATTAAATGAATTTATTAAATAAGTAAGGAACGGCTAAGTTCGGGTGTAACCGAGCCCTTTATAGTATCGAAATACTTTATATTGAAATATAATATTTAGTGTAAAAATTCACACGATTTTATCTTTATAGTAAGAATGGGGCTTCGAAAAATACTGTTTTGATTTTACCTATTTTTGACACGAGTATTTCAATACAAGATCTCACGGATCGACCGACATTTGGAGGTTTAAAAAGTTATAGTCCGATTTCGACAATTTTTAGACGAGATATCAAATACCTTAAAGCCACTATTTGTGCAAAGTTTTATTTCATCAGTTTTGCCAAGGCATAAAATAACAAGACTGAGGATGAAGAATGGAAAAAATTTATTTTTTCAGATGAGTACAAATTGTTATATGGTCCGGCCTAAAGCGCTAAATATGTTTCGTTTCTACCAAAATGAACTCAGAGTATTACGTGTAGCTGTTGAATAAAGTTTTGTTGAAGATTTTGTTGATCCTGCGTTCCTTCTTGGCAGGCTAACGCAGCGATTCATTGGACAAAGAAAACTAAAGAGTTTTGTAATCTAATGGCTCCATCACATATTCGGACAGAAGTTTTCCTAATATTAGTGTGCACCAGACATAAAAACAAAAAAGTAGAATGTGCTGTTCGATTCGATTATCGTCTACATAACTGAAAAAGAAAACTTAACTCTTTTAAATAAATACATAAGCTGTCAATTAAAAAAAAAAAAACAAAACAACGAATAATCGGACAAAACATTTTGACAAACCTCAGGCTCTATGGAATTCCAAGCCCTTAATAAAGCCTCCTTTAGCTGACCTAAAGTCTTATTAATTCCTCCCACAAATGATCGATTGAAGTTAGGGCTCTGCGCTGGTCTTTGTATTAGTTTGGTGAGGTTTGGCAGTTGTGTATTAACCAAAGCTTTGCAATGCCCTAAATGTGCTTGGAGTTGTTGTCCTAATAGAAAGCAAAATTGTTCACGATACCCAACTTCTCCGCACTTTGCTTAACATTTTCTTTCAAAACATTGAAATAGCCTTTGTCCATTTTACCATCAATACAATGGAGGAGTTGCTTACTCCAGCACTCAACATATAGCTCCAAACCCAATAAATGTTATTAACATTCTTTGGTGTATTGTAACTCAGATATTGTATGGCAAGCCAAGTAACAGTGTGAACATTAAAAAAATGTATTCCGAATCTCAATCACCGGCAAGCAAGCCGAAAGTGTTGTGGATAAAAAGAAATTCGTTATACTTTGGAATATGACCACATTATTAATTTGCATTCCGAAACAATTCGAAACGGTCTGAGAAAAAGCAGTTTTCTTAGGTACGTAAGCGAAAAAAACCTATTTATAGGAGAAATTGACAAAAAAAATAACTCTACTTCTTAGTACCGAAATACCGACAAATCAAGGAAATTTATCGTATAGTGGTAAAAACAAGTTTAACTTATTCGGTTGTGATGGCGAACAAAAATTTTAGTGCCAAGCGAACGAAGAACTTCTGTTGAAAAATATATTATATGTACAATAGATAGCTGTGTTGATTAGGAGATCTCGGCAAGCAAATTGGATCTTGATGGCGCCTAATATTTCCATCAGGATATTGACCAAAAGCACACAAGCCATATTTTCAAGGAGTGTTCACTTTACAATGTACCCAAACAGCTCCATTCGCCACCACAGTCACCGAAACTTAACCCGACAGAAAATTTGAGGTATAAATTAAAGCAGTGTTTTTCAATCTTTTTGATTTCGCGACCCCTTTACAGGTTGAAATATTCTGGCGACCCCCTTGTGTCATAGTAAGTCAAAGAAATAATTTAATTTTAATTAAAAGACTACATACGTTAGGTAATAAGTTTTTCCTATTTTGGCAAATTTATCTATTATTCGCGCGGGTCATACTGCATCGGCGACGGCGACGTTGCCACACCGCAAGACATGATTGTCGTTGCCGTAACAGCGTAAAAATATAAAATGGATAAATTTCTCAAAAGATCGCAGCCTTCAACATCTGGTACGAGTATCAATAGCGGTGGTGGTGAATCGAATCCGAAAAAAAATAGACATTATGATGACAGTTATTTGAAATACGGGTTCATAGTCGTAAATAATAAACATCAATGTGTAATTTGCGGCGATGTTTTATCACGTGAGAGTATGAAACCGTAAAAGCGTATGCGGCATCTCACAACCAAGGATCAAAAAGAAGCTGATAAGCCGTGGGATTTCTTTGAACAAAAGTTGAAAGCTCTTAGTCAGCAGCAAAATACTATAATTAAGGTAAGTAAGAGAATAATGAAAAAAGCGTGGGGTGCACTATAAATCAGCTCTTAAAAAGCGCCCCACCCTTTTTTCACAATAATACTATTTTTATACTCTCGCAACATGTTGCTACAGAGTATAATAGTTTTGTTCACCTAACGGTTGTTTGTATCACCTAAAACTAATCGAGTTAGATATAGGGTTATATATATATAAATGATCAGGATGAAGAGACGAGTTGAAATGCGGGTGACTGTCTGTCCGTCCGTCCGTCTGTCCGTCCGTGCAAGCTGTAACTTGGGTAAAAATTGAGATATCTTTATGAAACTTGGTGGACATGCTTCTTGGTACCGTGAGACGGTTGGTATTGCAGATGGGCGTAATCGGACCACTGCCACGCCCACAAAACTCCATTAATCAAAAACAAATAAATTGCCATAACTAAGCTCCGCAATAAGATACAAGACTGTTATTTGGTACACAGGATCACATTAGGGAGGGGCATCTGCAGTTAAAACATTTTTGGTGGTCGTGGTCCCGCCTCTAATAGGTTTCATGTGCATATCTCCTAAACCGCTAATGCTATAATAACAAAATTCACTGGAAGCAAATGTATTTAGCACTTCTATTGACGGTGTGAAAATAGTTGAAATCGGGTGGCAACTCCGCCCACTCCCCATATAACGGTACTGTTAAAAACTACTAAAAGCGTGATAAATCAAGCACTAAACACGCCAGAGACATTAAATTTTATCTCTGGGATGGTATGAGATGACTTTATAGGAACCGCGTTTAAAATTAGGCAGTGGGCGTGGCACAGCCCACTTTTAGGTGAAAACCCATATCTTGGGATGTGCTTAACCGATTTCAACCAAATTCGGTGCATGACGTTCTTTTCATATTTCTATGTTATAGTGCGAAAATGGGCGAAATTGGACTACAACCACGCCTATTTCCCATATAACACCATTTTCAATTCCATCTGATTCTTTCACTTTCCACTATGCAAATCAGGCAACAATGATTATATCGGGATAAAACTGTGCGTGAATAATGCGATTAAAGTATGCCACCTTGTGGCCAAAACTTGTCTAAATCGAACCAAAACTGTTCAAGCCCCTAAGTACTAAATATGTGGACCCCAGTGCCTATAGTTGACCTTCTACCGAAAATATCAGCCAATCCACAAAGAAATCTCAAACGAGTATACCATTTGACTTTGCGAGAATATAAAATGTTTGGTTACATCCGAACTTAGCCCTTCCTTACTGATTTTATACGATATTTTTACTGTTGGAGTTTATTTCTTTGTTATTTGTATACAACTTTTGATTATACTTAATTTCGGTGTGCAAAGGTTCCGCGTCCTTAATTTTTATTGACTGTTCACTTGTATATTGTTTGGTTTATTTTCAGGCATCCAGTGTCAACGATCAACGTTATTAGCTAGCTACAAAGTCGCATATCGAGTTGCTAAAGCAGGGAAACCACATACAATTGCCGAAAATCTTATTTTGCTAGCGGCACTCGATATGGTGGAAATTATAGTCAGTAAGCAGGAGGCAAACAAATTTAAAAAAATACAACTTTCTGACAATACTATTTCACGCAGAATAAACGATATGGCCAAGGATATTCAAGAACAAGTAGTCGAAAAATTAAAGAATAGCCAACATTTTGCCTTGCAGTTCGATGGATCTACAGATGTTTCCGACTGTGCACAGTTTGTAGTATTTGTGCGCTTTGAAGCAGATGACAGTATTACGGAAGAAATCTTATTTTGCAAAGCACTTCCTGCAAACACTGCTGGCCAGTGTTTGTACGATATGTTTTTAGAAAGCACTTGCGACTACGATATTGATTGGAAAAAATGTATCGCTATTTGTAGCGATGGAGCTAAAGCTATGACTGGCAAAAATAGCGGACTCATTGCAAAATTAAAATCGATAATACCAAACATATCCTGGACACGTTAAATGATGTGCTCAAGGAGGTAATAAAAATTGTGAATTCTATCAAAGGTAAAGCTTTGCAAACCCGGCTATTCAGAATCGTTTGTGAAGATATGGGCTCGCTTTATCAAAATCTCCTTTATCACACAGAGATCAGGTGGCTATCCAAAGGTATTGACAAGAGTTCTGGAACTGAGAGCTGAATTGTTAATGTTCTTACAAGATGCAAAATCAGAATATGCTTACCGTTTTTCTGACCCTATTTGGCTCTTGAAATTAGCATTTTTGGCAGATCTTTTTAGCCACCTAAACAATTTGAACAAGAACCTTCAAGGAAGAGAAGAAAAGATTTTAACAGCTAAAGATAATGTAAAAGCATTTCACGCAAAACTTCGTTTGTGGTCGACCTCTCTGCAAAACAAAATGTTTGAGTCTTTTCCGTGTGCTCAGAAGATTGTTGAAGATAATGCATCAGACCAAAGTTTTGCAGTATCGGCTCATATTCCTTGCATGATACAAAGCTTGCATAATTTACAAGATAAACTTTTGACATACTTTCCAGACTTGCACTCTGAAGCTGACAATGGGTGTGATGGATTTTAAGCCCTTTTTTGGACAAATCAATAAATCTGGCTGATGTCAACACAAAAATGAAAGAATGTCTTCTAGAATTAGCTACTGATGGCATGCTTAAAATGGAATTTTATTCGCAAATTGTCGACGTATTTCGGATGAAAAGAAAACACGAATATCCAGAGCTGGCAAGGGAAGCTCTTAAATTATTAGTGCCATTCGCCACTTCATACTGACATTTTCTTCAATGGTAGACATTAAAACTAAAAAGAGAAATAGACTGCAATTAGAAAATGATTAAATTATTAATGTTTCAAAAATAACACCACAATTTGATAAATTAATAAAAAATAAACAAGCATATCTTTCTCATTAAAATTGTGTTTTTGTTGTGTAAGAACCTCGACTTTTTCTTTCAGCTGGCGACTCCCCGAGTAAGGCTTTGCGACCCCCTTAGGGGTCGCGACCCACAGATTGAAAAAAACTGAACTAAAGTATCGCATACAGGAATAAACAGGAACTAAAGGATGGTTTGCTGTATGAGTGGAACCAAATAACGGCTGAAACCATAAAAAATGTCGTACTTTCCATGAACAATCGGTTGGAGACGTTAGTACAGGCAAAGGAAACCCAAATAACTAGTAATAAGTAATATATGTTAATAGATGTAAACTTTTCTGCAAATCAAACTTAAGTGCATTCTTGTTAGGTGTACGTATGATTTTCTGCGCTAAAGCATTTTATTTTATATTTATAAAATCAAATAAATATTTGTGTTCTTAAACATATATTTTCCTGGTATAGTATATTTTTTTAAATAAACTTTATTTTTGGCAGATAAAGTAAGTGTTGTTGGGTACTTAATTTTATCTGTGTGACTGTGTGTCCATATACGAGAAAATTTAATAATGTATAATAATAGAAAAGGTCTACATTCAGTCTGCTGAAAAATTTTTTAAGAAAGAAAACTTAAAAAATGTTTAAATCATTCGATACTATCTTGTCTATAAAAATAACAAGCAATGTAGGACTACGCAAAAAACAATTACAACAATTTTAGTACATCTAGTTTATTTCTTTTGGAATATAAAACCTCGTTACGAACATATCACAAAGGTAGTCGTTATATCCTTTTGATTCCATCTGATAAATTTTTGTTACCAACAAGAACGTAAAATGCATATTGTCCCTTCTTCGTTACAATCAGATAATTATAAAATGATTTTTACGTTATATTTTTCTACACCACGTTTCTACGATATTTGGATATAGTATTTTAGCCTTCAGATGTCGCGGATAAAATTTCAATCAATACAAATTTAATTTATATAATTTTATTTACAATGTTTAGTTCATATATTATCTTTATATTGCTAAACGCACTTACAAATATTTTTTTGAGAACTCATATCATATCTCTTATAGCGTTAACAAATCCAGAGGACGGAAATTCTAGTGAAAATCAAGAGGACATAATTATCATGATATACGTTCTCTGATATACGTTCTCTGCTTGAAACCACAGCTATGTTTACTTACAACTTACTTTTGACATTTTCCTTACTCTATATGACAGTCCGTGGATATATCAATTCCAATTGGTAAAAAGTTAAGAAGTTTCAGTTGGTACAACAATAAAACTTTGTCGTAGTATAATATATGTATATAAAACCGTTCTATTCTGTGTATACAAATTTTTCCGTAGTAATTGTGACTTTGGAAAAATAATTTACACATATACCTAAACTCGTAATATTGTGCAACAAATAGAAGTGTTTTTAAATGCACGCAAAATCATCAAATAAGCGGTGTACAATATTTTGTGAAGTCTGAAATGTCTACACACGACGGATCCTATAACGAGGAGGCATACTGTTCTGTGGCAACTAATGTTGGTGTGGAGGTGACGTCGCAATTGTTAGCACAACGTATGAACCAAGCAGTAGCTCCACCACAAACACTTTTAATGGGACCCCCATATATATCACCTCCCTCACAATCGCAGCAACAGCAGCATCAATTACAACACTATAATGAATATTATTATAATTTGTATTCTTCACAACCTGGGCAACCGGAAACTTATTCAGTGCTTCCAGTTGGTCATGGAAACTTCTTAAAAGTGTATCACTGCCAAGAAAATGCAGCTAATGCAGCGTTAACCAACGAAGCCAATGCTTTATATCACGGAAAGTTGCCACAGCGTGCTGCGCATTCGCAATATCAACAGCAGTCTCAGCCTTCGCAATATCAACTGCCTCAACCAGCGTTCCATATACATCAACCGCAAGCGCAGCCCCCAACTCCCCAATACTTTAATAGCTATGAGCTTTTTTCAAGCAATACCTTAATGCCTACACCAGACAACCAGCCCACTCTGAATCAAACCGATTTTAAAGCTGGAACATTTCAAGTTACGCAACACACACCAATTTTTATGGTGAATAATCACGAGGAACCAATTTGTCAGCAAGGTGTTAATACGGCATCTACGAATATGATAATTAACAACCTTGTACATAATTGGTCACCGAAAGTAACTGGTGCACCCATTCAACAACTTCCAATGCAATCACAAAATGTATTGAATTCAGAGACATGTAGCACTGCCATAGAACCAGAAATAACAAGTGTTGCGAGTGATCAAATTATGTCCAACGATTCTGATGTAGTTGAAGCGTCAATACAATTTTCAATTTCTTCAACCGCTATTCAACCGCAATCAACGCCAGTATCGACAGTTGTTCCAGAGCCGCCGACAGACACTTTGGATAATGAAAACCTATACAATTCCAAAGAAGCTCTCACACCGACATCAACTAAATCCGTTTCAATGTCACCAACTAACCTAAATGCTACTGAGGTGAAGAAGCGAATTGTTGCCGAAGTAAAACCGATGCGAATGTCCTATTCAGATGTTCTAAGCAAAGTAAATACCCAGAAATCTGATACAATACAGTTACACCACAATTATAGGCAAACACAAGCCGGGAAAAGCGGAAAACCGATGACTTTCGAACGGAAAGGTGGAGATATGAAGATCAGTATGGATAACGTGGGGTTAACTCGAAGGCAAATAAGTTTTGAAGATGAAGCAGGAGGGCGCTCAATTAAAAAATCTCCTACGCATGAAAACAAAGAAAATGTACAGCAATTTCAAAATGGTAATGTATCTAAAAACACTAAGCGGGTAAATCAAAGCAGCATTACTGTAAGCGCCAATTCGATATCGAACAATATCAGTAGCAATAATAATAATCAAAGCAAGGTTGGACAAAAGGGGAACCAGAGGATAAACATCTCAGAAACAAGCACAACTCCTAATGGTTTTAATAAAAGCAGCAACAACATAAATAACAAAAAGCGCCCAAATCATCGACGCAACGAAATGGAAATCAATAAAATGGAGATAAATAGTAATAAGAATCTAAAATCGAATTCCTTTAATGGTGACAAAGACTTCAATGTTTATTACAATGTTACGGCAAACAACAATGAAGGTGGAGATCGTGCTTCTAGGTCAAATAATAATGGTTTCGTTACCGGATCAAATAACTCTAATTCATCTACTGCGAATGTAAGGAAATCAAACAAATCTTCATTCTACAACAATTCTAACACATCGCCCTTCACCGCAAATCAATCACGCACACGTTATGGTAATGCTAACTCTAATTCCTCCTATTCATATTCGTCAAAACGCAGCCGAAACACTAACTCCTTGCATAGCAACGCTTCGGCGGTGTCAACGAATAGAAACTATGAATTAGCGAAAAAATTTCTTTGTGCATGGCTGGAATATACTATAAAGATATTGACTTGGTTGTTCTATTTGATATATGACATTGTGGTGCTCGGCTGTAGTGTGGCATATGATCGTTTGCTGCATGCCGGCGAATGTGGCTTTTTGTATGCTCAACAGTTACGAAAAGATTTCAAACAGAACTCTAATAAACCGAGTATTTGGCTGAAAAGTTATTGGAGACGATTTGATGCACGATTTCAAAAGAATTCGCAATGGGCCTTCTGGCGAAGTTTCTGTCAAAAGAAACCGCCTGAAATGACAACGGAAAGTATGAAAAGTGGTCGACTGCCACAGACAGGTGAGGAGGCCATGTATTCTCTACTTAATTGTAAAGGAAAAGATGCATATAGGTAAGATTTAAGTAAAATTAGTAGTACATTAAATTTGTATGTTTGAACTGTTAGCATTCTGGGAGTGCCGCCCGATTGTTCACAGGAACAAATACGTAAGCACTATAAGAAAATTGCTGTTTTAGTACATCCGGATAAAAATAAACAAGCCGGCGCAGAAGAAGCTTTTAAAGTGCTCCAAAGAGCATTTGAATTAATTGGAGAACCGGTACGTTATCTATGAGATTAGTGCATAAATAATTTAATTGAGCTAATGATCTGTACTTTAGGAAAAGCGTCTTGCCTATGACCAGAGTCTAGCTGAAGCTTTACACGCTGAAAAAGCTTGGACTGAGCTGCACGATTTATTATCACAATTACAAACAAAAATAACCGAAGCTGCCAATACGATAAGGTGCAAGGTGTTAACAAAATTAGTATTATAATTTTATAAAAACAAAAAAATACATATTTTCAGGTGTAGTACTTGTGGCTTAAGACATCCCCGTCGAATAACGGACCGGCCACATTACGCTGCTAGAGAATGCGCTTCCTGCAAAATTCGACATTCAGCCAGAGAAGTTAATATTTCTAAAACAAATTTGTTTGTCCCGATAACATTTTTTATTGTATATACAAATTAGGGAGATATTTGGGCAGAAACCAGCCTGTTGGGACTACGTTGGAGATACCTAGCTCTCATGGAAGGCAAAGTCTACGATATTACTGAATGGGCGAACTGTCAAAAAGGAGCTCTTTCGCATTTGGAACCCAATTCTCATATGGTGCAATACCGCATTGTACGCGGTGCACAACAGCAGCAACCAAACACTAATTCGCCGAACCACCAAAATCCGCAGCAACCGTATTCTCAACAGCCGGGAACGCATAATGATCGCAATGGCAGTGGAAAATTCAAGCGTAATATTCCAACAAGGTAATACGGAGTACATCAATTATATGGTTTCATATATTATATTTACGATTGAAATTGTAGTGAGGCATCATTACACGAGTTTCTCGATAACTTGTATGGCGGCCAACATCCAAATTCGGCATCGGCTTACTCGAACGCATCACGTCGACGTACACGTCGCAATTGATTCAACATTGTGTGGATTGGTTGTAAACTTTCCTATATTAATCTCTTAATATTTCTCTCCACAAACGTACAACTTTTTATTATTTCATTTAATGTGTATAAATATGCATTATTGCATTATATGACCGCAGAATGATTTAAATTTATCTTTGTTACTTGCATACTTGTGTACATATTAACAAGAGCCGTACAAATGTATGCGCCAATGCCTATATATAAACGTATATGTATTTTCATTTAGTTGTTATAACCTATTATCCTTGAGTTGTCTATATTCTATATATATATATTTTTTTGGTTTCGATAACGACACTATTGCAAAGGATATAAATTACATATTCAATGTGCAGGTCTCATTTTAACGATTTCTACAAAATATTAACTAGTATCTTCTACAAAAGAAGCAAAAACAAAACAAAAAAATATCAAAATTATTACAACGTAAAAGTAAATCTCGCAAAAAAATTCAGGCATATAACAAATTTCACACATACATCCTCGAAACACTCATGACTGCGATGTATGTATGTATATGAATTGGATTTAGGTGCATTTGATGTATAAATATGTTAAAAATGAAATAAACTAAATGAGCAACATGCTATAAAAGCGCAGTTGTGACCATGCATGAGATATTTTTTTTTCGAATTATTAAATATGGATAAGGTTAATTGAATGGTTTATATGGTTTTGTATATATGAAATGGCTTTATCTTAGATTGTGGGTTGCGCACCAACGATTTCTGGTTGAAATATTATTTTGATTTTGTTTGAACTGTGTGTTTTTTTTCCATCCTCATCACGTATATATAATAGGACGAATATAGCTGCCAGCAGAATACAACATGTACATTAGCAGTAGATATCGACGCATACTGCACGCAGTTGAGGCGTTTGTCGCCATTTTGTGTATTTTATCGATTACTATCAACCTTTATTATTATTGTGAAAAACAGGAAACTGATATTGAGCAGATGTCTACCTTTTTTGTGAATTTTGGAGTTTGAATACATTGAATAGTATTTAAAAAGAAAAAAAATGTATGCTTTAATTCTCTCTCGCAACACCCTGCGACAGAATATAATAGTTTCTTCACCTAAGCGTGGTTTTTATCACCTAATACTTATCGATATAGATATGGAGTTATATAGACAGATAGATAGATAGATGTGGGAGGTCTATTGTGCACTCTAACTCTTTTCATATTGCTTCATCTAGTTACAAAGCTCTTATAAAATCTAGCGCTTGGAGGTTGATGGTTTTCATATGATTTTGCTTCGGCTGCATAAGTCCTAAATTCGCGAGCCTTCTTCTGACCACCGCATCACATTCCAATAATATATGCGCCGGCGCCTCAGGCTTTAGCTCACAGGAGCAACACGTTTCTTCAGAGCTCATTCCTATCCTGTGCAGATATTTGCGCAGTCGGCATTGTCCTGTAAGAAATCCAATCAGTATTTTTAAATTATTCTTGCTAAATAATATGATATGTTTAAATCTTCTCTGCTATTTCGTTTCCTTCAATACCTGTTAGTTCCGGAATCCACAGTAGCCAAACTTTGTTCCGTTCGCCCACTGCATTTAATTTATTGACACATTCCCATACCATCTGCGATCTGCATCTATGCATTATGGTGTTGCTTTCAAAGCTGCTTGGTTGTCGCTGCAGATTAGTATGGGCTGGTTAATTGGTGTTCTACTGCACCATGGGGATTGCTCTCATTGTTCTGGGACCCGTAATCCCCGTGTCTGCTCCTTCTGGTGTTTTTTATACATCTGTGTACCATACCTGTGAATGTAGCTTTATCTCTTCCTTTATTTGCGATTGATTCCACGATCCGTTTTCTCCTAGAGCTATGCTGAATTTTAAGTTACAATTTATGGTCTTTGGTATTTCGTCTCTGTGAAAGTTGGATAGGAGAATTGTTTCCCTTATTTCAGCTGCATTTTTGAATGTAACGATCTTTTCTTTTCCAATCCCATCCTTCATTATTGTTAATAGGGTTTTCTTTTGCGAAAGCTCTATAACTTCGTTGAGAGGTCAAGTAGGTCTTCTAGTGCTAAAGTTATCAGGATGACGAGAAGGGCAAGATTCAAGGTGACTGTCCGTCCGTGCAAGCGATAATTTAGGTAAAAATTTAAATATCTTGATAAAATTGATGCACATGTTTCTTTGCTCCAGAAGAATGTTTGCATTGCAGATGGACGAAATCAGACTATTGTCACGCCTACAAAATGCTGTTTATCGAAAACCTATAAAGTTCTATAACTAAGCTGCAAACAAAGATATAAAACTGTAATTTGCACAAGGGTTTGCATTGGAGAGGGGCATCTGTGGGCTGAAAATTAAAAAAAAATGGAATTCACCCCGTATTCAAATAAGTTTAATGTGCATATCTTACAAACCTCTAAAGCTATTTCCTCTTCTACAGTGTGAAATCAGATAGTAATTACTCCTACTTCCCACATAACGGGTATGTTGAAAACTACTAAAATCGAAATAACGCAATAAATAAATGCATGAGAGACAGAACGACTTCATTGGAGTCGTTATCAACATTGTGCGTGGCAGCGCTCACCTTTAGGTTAAATCCTATATCTCAGGAGCTACTTGACCAATTTCAACAAATTTTGGGCATAACATCATCCCGACATTATTATGTTACAATATAAAAATTCTTAACCCATACAGAAAAAATTTAAAATCAATATTATTTTTTCACTTTAATATATTGTATCAAGCACCAATGAAGTTATTGGAATGAAACTTTACACAAATAGTTCATCTATAATAATAATATGATAATAATATTCTCTTGTAGCAAGTTTAACTTAACGTAAATATCGAATATATTGTATTATAGTTTAATGCCCAAAATATGTGAAATTGGTCAACGAACCCCAACTCTCATATACTACATATATATGTATATGGGTTTTTCTTATTCTAGCAGACTTTCTACCAAATATGTCGATCAATATGTAAGTTAAATTCATTAAAACCAAATTAGGCTTAAAGCTGAGTATTAAAGAAAATTGGTCTAGATCATGGTATAAGCATCATATCCCTAATATATTGATCTCCGATTCACTGGTTGACTTATTTTTCACTTTTCTGTAAATCTTATCACATAATACAAGGTGCGTTCCAAAGTAAACAGTAAAAAAGTAACAAAGTAAACTCTAGTGGCGCTATCTATATGTCGTTAGAATCTGCTATCCTTTATCGACTTCCAGTAAAAATTTCATGACATTTCATCTATTGAAAGTGAAGTGATTGTGTTTTAAGTGTCAGTATGTTTTTGTCATCGGTGCGAAAATGAGCTTCGAACAAGGAGCTAACATTAAATTTTGTTTTAAAATTGGTAAAACTTTTACCGAAACGTTTCAATTGATGAAACAAGTTTATGGCGATGATTGCCTAACCCGTAGCGGAGTGCACGAGTGGTTTGAACGTTTTCAAAGTGGTAGGACATAAATGAGAAATGAGCCGAAACCCAAAAAACCGCGCCTGGAGAGGTCAAAAGTGAAGGCAATGCTGATTTATTTTTTTGAATCCAAGAGTATTGTCCACAAAGAGTTTGTTCCACCCGACCAAAACGTTAATGCGGTATTCTACATTGGAGTTTTGAAGCGTTTGGTGCGCCATATTCGACGTGTTCGGCCCGAATATCGCGAAGATGGAAGTTGGCATTTGTTGCACGATAATGCGCCGTCTCATCGATCGACGCTTGTGGCCGATTATTTGACCAAAAATCACATTTTAACAATTAACCACTCCCCGTATTCACCTGATATGGCACCGTGCGACTTCTACCTTTTCGGAAAAATGCATTTGCCGATGAAAGGAAAGCGTTATGCAGACGTGGAGGCCATTCAAAAGGCTTGCACCGGCATACTGGCGGCCATACCGGGCAACGAGCTAAAACACTCGTTCGACATGCTTTTGGATCGTGCAAAAAGCTGTATTAAAGCAGAAGGAGACTATTTTGAATAAAATTAATTGATTTTGCCGATAAAACCATTTGTTCTGTCTTTTTTTTTAAAGTCCTGTTTACTTTGGAACGCACCTTGTATATCTAAATATATAAATATTTCGAAAAAGAAACGAAACTCAGTGAGTTTGAGAATTAACGAGATGCCAAATATGATTGCAATTTATTGACGAATGATGAATGTTGAATTTTTGCGAAAATTTTTTAATACAATGTTTTGCCAACACCTGAAAATATTGTATTTCCCTGTTTGTGGACCGCGCTAATTGTGAGACTATAAAATGTCCGTTTCAAACTGAATGTTACTTAGTAAACTTGATCTTCAAAAAATTATTGCTCTTTAATTATTATACATTTTTACCCTTACAATATGTATGTATATACGGAGTATAATAGTTTTGTTCACCTAACGGTTGTTTGCATCACCTAAAACTAATCGAGTTAGATATAGGATTGTGCATATATAAATGATCAGGATGACTAGACGAGTTGAAATCCGAGTGACTGTCTGTCCCTCCGTCCGTCCAAAAATATATCTTGATGAAACTTGGTACATAAGAAGGTTGGTATTGAGAATGGACGCCCAAAGAACGCTATTAATCGAAAACCAATAAATTGTCATAACTAAGCCCCACAATAAGATATAAGACTGTTATTTGGTATAAGGAATGGCATTAGAGAGGGGCATCTGCAGTTTAAAACATTTTGATAAAGTGGGCGTAAACCCGCCCTCTAAGAGTAGTTAAGATTTAATGTACATATCTCCTAAACCGCTAAAGCTATAACAACTAAATTCACAAAAAAACTTTTTAGCACCCCTACCGACAGTCTGAAAATGGGTGAGAACTCCCTACGCAACGATTTTGTTAATATATATTAAAAGTGCTATAAATCTATAATAAATGCGTCAGAGGCGTGGCACGGCCCACATTTTGGTGAAAACCCATATCTCGAGACCTGCTTAACCGATTTCAAATTCGGCAAGTAACATTATACTGGCATTCCTAAGTTACAGAATGCCAAATCAGACTACAACCAAGCCGACTTCCCATATAACACAATTTTAAATTTCATTTTATTCTTTCATTGTCCAAAAGCAATGAATATAACGGGATAAAACTTTGCACAAATAGTGCCATCCCGTGACCAAAAATTTTCCAAATCGAATCAAAACTAGGTACCGAATATGTGGACCCCAGTTTCTATTACGAAATTTTTATTCAAAATATCGGTCAATCTTCGTCATATATTATAGAAATTCGGAATAACCCCTTTGCTGATAATAGTGTGCTTGCATGTCGAAAATGGAAGGAATCGGATCAATAATTCCCTTAGTCCCCATATACCTAATAGACAAATTTTCGAATTTCCGTCTGGCTTTTACCTCATAAATCGGTCAATATGTGAGTTATGTTATTGGAATTGAAAAGGCGTGTTTCTCTAATAAAAATGTATCTTTTTACATAAAATGGATAAAATTTAGTGAAAACTTGCGCTAGCCCCTATATAAAAGTATCTAATATCAAAATATTCAAACATCTAATTGACTTTACTCCTTACATATTGGTGATGGTATGTGAGGTATTTTAATGAATGTAAGTTAATAAGATACAAATTTGATTGAAATCCATTCACGATTT